TCATTTTTAATATTTTCTAGTACTTTTGCGATACTGCCATAAGCCGGTCGCGCTTCTCTGATAATCTAGGACTCTAGTCAAGCCATACGATATCCAATTTTGATTGGTCTTCAAGATTGGATCTATTCCCGCTCATATTTGAATTACACTAATCTTACCATTAACATTCCAATCTCATTTACTTATCAGACAATAATAAAAACGCCAACGTCAATGTGTAGATATTTATTTTATAAAAATCGTACTCAATAAATGTATTATTATATAGAAATCATAATACAAAGACATAAAATGATAAATATTCTTGAAAGTAACGTAATGTAATTATATGTTTTAATTTTTCCGTGATACATTCGGTTTTTTTTTACTTACATGAAAAAATAATTAAATTTCACCGAATAATAGAAACGAACAGAACAAATTTCGAGAAACAAAAGAAACATAAATTGTATTTAATTCGCAAACTTACTAGCTTTAAACATAAACATCTCTAAAACATCTTTAATGCGAAACGTGTGAAATTTAATTGGAATCCAATCTCTCAATGCGCCAGCTTAGAGAGTTTGTCTGTTAGATGTGCCACATAAGTCTTATACAACGGCGCGTTAAAGTCATCACCGCCTCCAAGTCTAGACAATGATTTCGCGGACTCTTAATGGCCGCCTGCAGTGTACCATCTGCGCAATCTGAAATTTACATTGTGATACATCAGCTAAATAAATGTTATGTAACTACAATTTTATGTAATTATGTCGTATATCTAAATTTGTAGAATTTGATAAGAAAATATATAATTAAAAAATTAGCATTAAAAATGCAGAGCGAATACAAAATGAGGTACATTTCTCTCTATTTAGACTAAATTGTAATTATAATTCAGAAATTAGAGTATTGTCTCAATTAAGAATCAGCTTGAACATACCTGTGTGCTTCAGGAAGATCAGGATTTTTAAGTAAAGAGGAACTTATAAGGGACAAGTTTCTCCGCCCATTGAATTCGCTCATGTACGCTCCCTTAATAGCTAAGATTATTGGAGCCTCAGTATTAGAGTCATCGAAGTCCTCGGCTTGCTCTTGCCACAGCGTAACGCATACCTAACAGAAAATTCATTTATTCATTCGTCAGAGCAAAACGGTAAAATCTGGTGTGTCAAATCTACTTACCATCGTTCCGCTGTCATCGACGATATTAACGTCCCTCTTCACGACCTTTATGCCGGTAGTGTGTTGTATGTGTTGTACATCGCTGACAGTTTTAACGACACCCAAGACATCTATTACGATCCATAATTTTCGTATTAGTTGAATTATATAAGAATCTTATTTTTATCTTATTTCATATAAAATTTGCTATTTATTACCATATATAGTGAAACTTGTTTATCAACAAGCATTACCAATAGATACTTAGATAATTTTAGAGACAAGATTAAAACAGATAACAAAACGTAATATAAATGTCAACAGTTGATACAAATTTTGTCGCAAGAGTATTATCAATGACATATATAATCTATTGAAAAAATCTATTGAGTGACGAAATTGTTATGTTTTAAATTTTATCGAATTGCTATAAGGATTACCTATTAGACTATTCTCGTTGTTCTCCAGTTCACTTATGGGACAGAAGTTAAACTGCAGCGTCGGAATGTCATCGTTGTACTCGTGACAAGGCACGATCTCTGTATCAGGGGTTATCGTCATCTCGTAATCGTTCTTCAATGGATTAAACAGTTTGTTCGCCGCCTTCAGCGAGAACTGCGAGATGTAGTACACATTTCCAAACTGCACAAACGAAATGCTCGACAGTTTAATCCTTCGTAGAGAAAAGATTCGTATGCTGATTTTAGCCGACACGTACCTGTATCATGTCGTAGAATTTGTCGCATTGATCTTTAAATGCGGTACAGCGAATTTCGCCACTGTCGTCAATCAGGTCCATGTAGAAGAGCGTGCCTGCGCTATAGGAATTGCTCCACATGTTGATCAGAGACTTGTTGATTACGCGAACCTTGATTGCCCACCTAAACGAATATTATCATTGTCCTTTTTTTTTCAAAACACACATATCTAGAAATATCTTATACATATAGAATCAAACTATCACCTGTTCTGGTATAGATTTAATGCCGCAATTGGTATAACGAATCTATTAGCGGTATTATAATCTGAAATTGAAGTAGCCATTTTTGAACAATCTGTGAGATGGGAAGGGAAAGTTTGAACTAGGGTACTATATTATATGGGAATACGCATCGCCATTTTGGCTCCTGGTAACTGCACTTTTCAGCTTCTGGTAACTGCACTTTTCAACCGCACTTTTCAAAACCATTCTGCACTAAGTAGGAGCCAAAATGGCGATGCGTATTCCCCACTAAAATATAATAATACTGGAACGCGCACGGCCCATGCCGCCTTTGTTAAGAAGAGATCCGAGAAAGAGCATTCAAAGTGGTATCTTTATCCTTTTCCAAACTATACTGCGCATGTGCAATAGACGGTAGTGGGGCTCGTACAGTCTAGAGTCCTAGAAAACAGAGATACGACATTGAAGGGTATGGTCTGATTGGCTGTCTAAATCACATGACAAAGCACCAATCAAATGATCAAAGCGCCATTTTAATTCACTATTGCACCTAATGCATCAAGATACAGCTTTGTAAAGTATATACATATAAATTATA